TGCAGCGCAATTTCGTTCGGGGAAGGGGCGCCGCCCCAAGGTTGGGCGCGGCGGAGGCGGAGGCGGGGGTGCGGGAGGGGGCAGTGGTGGGGTCGGGTCGACTGGTGCTGGAGCGGACGAGGGGACCTTGCCCAGTCCAGCTGAGTCGCCGCCCCTGCAGTTGCAGCAGCCGCAGCAGCCGCCGCAGTCGCAGCCTTCGCAGCAGCCGCAGCAGCCGTCGCAGACGCGGCAGACAAGTGTCCTCCCGCCCGGGTGGCCCGGCGCTGGCGGTGGCCGGGCGCGTGGTGGTGTGTCGAGTGGCGGCGGGCGCTGTCAGTACCAGATCCAGACCGGTCCTCGCCGCGGCTTCGTTTGCGGTAAGATCGGTCACTCCACTCCCCGCTGTTTTCGTCGTCTGGACGACCTCTTTCGTCAGCGCTTCGGCCCGTCGCCAGACCTCCCGGACTGGCACAGTTTGCTTAGTCGTCAGATTCAGATCTTTGATATGGACATGGATGCCATTGTTTCTGCTCTGCATGTGATGTATGCTGCTGACTCTAGTGTGCTTCCAGCTTATTACTCACTGTTGCCTAGTGTAGGTGTGCCTAGTGTAGCCTCCCCTGCTGCGTCAGGCGTAGGATCCTCTGCTTTGAGTAGTCTTGGTGCTTCCGCCGTCGTTCCGTCGCCCGACGCCTCTGCTTCGCTTTCCTTCACCTTGGACTCTGGCGCTTCTCGGTGTTTCTTCCGCGACTCCACCACACTGACGCCGCTTCCCGTCCCTGCTGCCGTTTCTCTCGCTGACCCCTCTGGCGGTCCGGTCGTCGCCCGCAGTTCCACCACCCTTCCCTGTCCGGCGGTTCCTTCGGGCTCTCTTACAGGTCTGCATATCCCTTCGTTCTCCAGGAACCTAGTTGGTGTCGGCTACCTCCAGGACCTTGGCGTCACCACTACGTTCCCTGGTCACGAGCGGTATGCTGTCTGTACCGAGGCCGCCACTGGTGCCCCCCTGTCCACGTTCCCCCGGGACCCGGTGTCCGGCCTGTTCACTCTCGACACCGTGACCCCCCCGGCTGGAGCGCTCACCCAGGTTGCTGCTGCCTGCTCTTGTCGGTCTCTCACTCACCCGACCCTCCTTTGGCACCACCGCCTAGGTCACCCTGCGCTCCCGCGTCTGCGTCACATGTCCCAGCACGGTCTTGTCCTTGGTCTCCCAGGTTCTCTCCCCGCGTTTCCCTCCTCCCCAGCCCCACCTTGCACGCCTTGCGTCGAGGGTCGGCTTCGCCGTGCCCCTCACTCCTCCTCGTTTCCCCCTACCGCCGCGCCGCTCCAGACCCTGCACCTGGACGTCTGGGGCCCCGCCCCCGTCCCTGGGCCGCGTCGAGAGCGCTACTTCCTTGTGCTTGTCGACGACTTCACTCGTTACACCACAGTCTTTCCCCTGGAGCGCAAGGCCGACGTGCCTGGCGCTCTCATCCCCTGGCTCGTCTCTGCGCGTGTCCACCGCGGTCTCCCTGTCTTGCGACTGCACTCAGACCGTGGTGGCGAGTTTGCCTCAGGTGTCCTTGGTCGCTTTTGTCGTGCGGAGGGCATCACCCAGACGTTCACCCTACCGGACTCCCCACAGCAGAATGGGGTCGCTGAGCGACGCATCGGCTTGGTCATGGAGGTCGCCCGCACCTCCATGGTCCATGCCGGTGCACCCCATTTTCTGTGGCCGTTCGCTGTGCGCTACGCTTCTCACCAGCTTAACTTGTGGCCGCACCCTCAGCAGCCGCAGGTTTCGCCGACCCGTCTGTGGACTGGGTCTCCTGGTGACGCGTCTGCGTTCCACGTCTGGGGCTGCCTTGCTCACGTCCGTGCCTCCGGCACGGACAAGCTCACTGCCCGCACCCTTCCCTGCGTCTTCCTTGGTTTTCCCCTTGACGCGTCCGACTGGCACTTTTACCACCCGCCGTCTCACCGCTTCTTTCACTCTCGTGACGTCACCTTTGACGAGTCCGTCTCCTACTACCGTCGCTTCCCCCACCGTGGTCCCCCGGTTACCCCCCCCCTGTTCCTGGTCCCTCCTTCCCCGGTAGTCCCTGCCCCTCCTCCTCCTCCCCGTCCCGCCCCCTCTGGTGTGTCCCACGTCACCCCCTCCGTCGGTGGACCCGGTTGAGGAGTCTTCTGACTCTGGTGGCCCTCCTGTGCAGTCCTCGTCAGCCGCCCCTCCCCTGGCGTCCCCTCCCCAGTCCCCTCCTCCACCGCCTCTGCCGCCGCTGCAGCCGTCGTTGCCGCTGCCGCCGCCGCCGCCGCCGCCGTCGCAGCACCCATTCGCTGACTCTGGGGGTGCTCGTCCCTGTAGCACTGGGGGTGGTCCCTCTGGGGGTGCTGGTTTGGAGAGTGCCGGTGGTAGCCGAGGCGCAGCTTGCGGTCCAGGTGTCGCCGTTGTGCTGCCCCAGCAGCAGTCCCCGCCGGTGTCCGCCCTTCGTCTGCTCGGCCTTCCGTCCCCCGACCCTGCGTCTGTTCCTCTCCTGCCGTCTCCTCCTCTTCCTGTCTACGGCCCTGTTTTCCCTCCGCCGGACTCGTCCCCGGCACGTCTCCCCCCTCGTTCCCCTCCTGTGTCCCCTCCTCTGTCTCCTGACCCGACTCCTCCGTCGCACGTCTGGTCTCACCGTCCCCCCGGTGCTCATCCTGCCTCGCCTGTCTTGCGCTCCCACCCTATGTTGCTTCGTTCCCACGCGTCTCGTCCTCCCCTTCTGCCGTCGCCTCCTCCGTCCTCCCTTGTTGTTGCACCCCCCCCGCTGTCTGACTACCTTCGTGCCGCTCGTCCCCTTGTTCCTCGGGTCCTTGCCTCTCTCGTTACCGACCCGTCTGTTCCGTCCTCGTGCCTTGACGCTCTTGTCGCTGCTGTCGCTGACTTCGCCTCTACCCGCCGCCTTGACTACGCCACAGCTCTGGTCTCTGACCCTGCCTGTCCTCCGTCTGTCGGGGGTGCTCCTGCCCTTGGCAGTGACGTCCTGGAGGACCGCCAGTTCGAGCTTGCTTTCCTCTCCGAGGCTGCTCCCCATCTCTGTTCCATGCTGCTAGTCCCTGAGGGTGACCCAGACGCTTTCGACATCCCGACCCCTCGCACTTACGCTGAGGCGACCTCGGGACCCTGGGCCTCGCAGTGGATAGCTGCCATGGAGCAGGAGATGGCATCTTGGAGATCCACCGGCACCTTCGTCGACGCAGTTCCCCCGCCTGGGGTGAACGTAGTCGATGGCCGCTGGCTCTTCAAGGTGAAGCGCCCTCCTGGAGAGCCGCCTGTCTTCAAGGCGCGCTATGTGGCTAGAGGCTTCAGTCAGCGCGAGGGGGTGGACTTCTTCCAGACCTTCGCTCCGACCCCGAAGATGACTACTCTTCGGGTTCTGTTACACCTAGCTGCTCAGCGTGACTACGAGCTTCACTCCCTCGACTTCTCCACTGCCTTCCTTCAGGGCAGCCTACACGAGCAGGTCTACCTACGTCGCCCTCCGGGCTTTACTGGCACCTTCCCTCCTGGGACCCAGTGGCTCCTGCGACGCCCCGTCTACGGCCTGCGCCAGGCTCCCCGTGAGTGGCACGACACTCTCCGTGCTACGCTTGCTGACCTGCAGTTCTTTCCGTCTTCCGCAGACCCTTCACTCTTCGTTCGTGCTGGTCAGACCCCGTTCTACATCCTTGTTTACGTCAACGACCTGGTCTTTGCCACAGCAGACAGGGACGCACTGGCCTCCGTGAAGGCAGAGCTGCTGAAGAGACACACCTGCACTGACCTTGGAGAACTGCGCCGTTACCTTGGCCTGCAGATCTCCAGGGACAGAGCTGCGCGCACCATCACCCTGACTCAGTCACACTTGGTGCGCCAGGTCCTTCAAAGGTTCAGCCTTCAGTTCTCCTCTGCACAGCCCACCCCTCTGCCTGTAGACCACAGGCTCTCTGCTCCAGTGTCTGAGGAGTTGGTAGAGCCCAGCGGCCCCTACGCAGAGCTGGTGGGTTGCCTCATGTACCTGATGACTTGCACTCGCCCAGATCTCGCATACCCTCTCAGCATCCTGGCTCGTTTTGTGGCCACAAGCAGACACCGACCGCAGCACTGGTCTGCCGCTAAGAGGGTTCTGCGTTATCTTGCTAGTACATCGGGCATGGGGTTAGTGCTAGAAGGACGCAGGCCAGTGGTCCTTACTGGACACACCGACGCTTCGTGGGCAGACGACGCCGAGACACTCAGGTCTACCCAGGGCTACTGCTTCAGCCTTGGCTCAGGTGCCGTCTCGTGGAGAGCTACCCGCTCCTCGTCTGTGGCGCAGTCCAGCTGTGAGGCTGAGATCTACGCTGGTGCCATGGCGGCACAGGAGCTCCGCTGGCTGACCTTCTTGCTCACTGACTTAGGTGAGCGGCCTAGCTCTGCCCCGGTCCTGTTCGCTGACAACAGGGCCATGATCCTCCTGTGTCAGGAGCCTCGACTCGAGGGCAGAGCGAAGCACATTCAGCTGCGGTACTTCCTCCTGCGTGAGCTACAGCAGCGACGTCAGGCTTGCGTAGTACACTTGGCCTCAGGTGCCAACACAGCTGATATCTTTACGAAGGCGCTTGCGCCTAAAGATCATCAGCGGCACTGTGTACAGCTTGGTCTAGTTCCTGTAGCCTCTCACTTGCTAGGACCTTGACTTTGTATTGTCCTTTATATGTATACTCGGACTGGACTTGTGTCCTCTTCTAGTGGCTGGACTAGTAGTGCCGCCCTGCTCTTGTTCTTGCCTTGTCTGTACTCCTTCTGACTGGTCTCTCAGACCCTTGTCTCAGAGGTTGGACTAGTAGTGCCGCCCTGAGCTGCTTGTTTAGGACATTCCCCTATGCAGTCTAGGGGGTGTGTCAAACATGTATACTTGTCATGTCTGTATAGACTGTATAGGGTAGTCTCTTAGAGGGTACAACCCTGAGGTATATACTTGTGTACTCTCTTTCTATCTAACATTTAACTCTCAATTTTTCATAACATCATCAACGTTAACTACATTCTAGCATTTGCCGTTTTCGCTTTTTAAATATGCTGAGTTCTAATACTAGTCACTGCTCCCAAACTTGCTTACATAACTGTACATACAGGGACCTATGTAGGCACAGAGTACCTGCCTAGCAAGTGGAAACTACGAATGTTGGCCCCCAAAGGCAAACCACCTGCACGGGAGCGCATCTTGTAGTAGCGCACGGAAACCAACGACACGAATCTTATGATACAAGCCAACAACGACGATCACCGGAATTGACACGACCAGAACTTTCATCGAATTCTTCCACGAAATGTCACCCAGCCATGCCCACAACGAGGATTCCACACGACCCTCTCCACCACGCTGCACCTCCCCAACCCCCTGCTGCATCCCCTCCTCCCCCACCTCCCCACCAGCCCTGGCTCCTCCTGCCGCTATCCGCATTGCCTCCTGCAGGTGGCTCACCCCCCTCTCCGCCTGCCCCTGCAGCACGCACATGTGCTGCCATACCAGGGCCATGCGGCCGGCTCTCTCTGCAAGAGACCTGTGCAGCGGCTCTAGGGCTGCTTCTACCCTGAGAGGTGCCGCTGGGGAGTCGGAGCCCGGGGAGGGTTGGAGCATGTGCGCTAGCTGCTGGGCGAAGCCAAGGTAGTGATCAGAGACCTGAAGGGAGGCGGTTGGTGAGGTGCAGATGGAGGGATGAAGAGTGGAGATGAGGGATGGGGAGGGAGGAATAGTCGAGCACGGGCAAGGATGTGTGATGGCCTATGAAGGAGAACAAGTTGAGAGGAAAGCGCAAAGGGAAGCAAGGAACGAATGAAGGACCAGAAGAAAGAACAAAAAAGGAGGAGGGAGGGGGGTCAGACCTCGACTGCGGTGCTGGCGAGCTGGCGAATGTTAGAGTGGAAGAGGCGGAGAAGATCTTGCGGTTGGGAGTAGTCAGCGAGCAGGGGCTGCTGCTGCTGCTGCTCGTGCGCAGTCTGCTCATGCAGGTGATCCCCGTCCACCTCCTCCAGAGGTTGCTGCTGCTGCTGCAGCTTGAAGGTGACAGCATCGTCGATGCGGCGGTGTGCCGCTCTGATATCACACACCTCCTTCGCGTCCTCGTCATGTGATGAGCCAATTTCTGCAAGGCGGGCGTCCGCCGGGTGGCGTGGAAGGGTGGGAGAGGGTGGGAGGAAGGAGAGGGTTATAAGAACGGGATGCCACGGCGATTTGTCTGGTAAGACGAGAGGGCATGGAGAAGAGGGGGGCGTGGGGAAGAGGGTTCATGCACCAGTTCCATGCGAAACGTTCGGTCAATGGTTTGGCGGGTCAAGATCGTGGAGAGGACGTGAGTGAGTGAGCAACGAAGCGACGTCTATGGCCACGACCGAGGTGCGAGCAACTGGATGCAAGGCGGGTTAAGAGGTATGGGAAGCGGTTGAGGCAAAAACGACGGGCTACGGGGCGTTGGAACGGGAAAAGGCTAGGCCGCGGGGAAGGAAAGGCAGACGGGTGAGAAGAGGGATTAGAGAGGATCGATAGGGCGTCAAATCGACGCGTGCCAGGCAAGGTTCCCCTTCGCAATTGCGAAACGGGACGCAACTCGGCGCGCATCAGGCGCGTCTATGCGATCCTCGGCGACATCCAAGGTTGCAGTACCTAGCAACGCGTCGTGGAAGCGCGGCAGATCGAAGTGGTGCGCGGCTTCGAACGGCCGCATGGCGAGCCGCACGAGTCTGCGCAGCTTGGGCAGCTCGGTTTGCGCGTAGTCGGCGGCAGCTTGCAGCTCGGACGACATGGATTCGGGGTCATGCTTGGAACCCAGCAGCTGTAGCGCCTCCAGAACGGCCGCGACTAAGACCGGGATCTCCTCCGAGGATTTGACTAGACGCTCGACGAGATCATCCTGCGGCACTATCTCACCCATGGGATTATCGTACACGAGAGTCGGAAATACGTGAACTGATTGCACCGACGCTTGTTCGACTTACTTAGGCGGTCAGCAAGAGGAGTCACGTGAAGATTTGAGGTGGAAGGGGAGAATTCTGTAGTGCCGTGGGTGTGGCTGTGGTGGCGAGCTGTTGGGTGCTGATGGAGGGCTTTGAACCCTTTTCAATAACTCGCTGCACGATACTAGCCAGGAACGCTCACGCAAGCAAAATGTCACCCAATGACGTTGTTTCTAAAAAGGATTAGCAGACGTCATAACCTCATTTAGGCTTATCAAGTTTTAGTATCATGGTTTTTTGTGACATATTTTCATACCTCGCGGGATGAAAAAGGAAAGCACAAGTCACTCAAATACAAAAACAATGCAAGGCAAATGTCCATTGGTTAGGCAAGTATCCATGCACTTTTTTCTATGCTGTATATATAGAGGATATTTCATCGATGAACCAACCAAGGCTTGTGACTAAGTAAAGGTTAGAATAGAATTTCATGCATGTATCAATAAAGGTCATAAACTGAAACGTGAATTTGTCTCCAGGTGGGTGGACCCCAATATCGGAGTGTCGGCCTCAAACCCACTCTCATCGTGCACTAGCTTGGCGCACCGCGCACGACTGGACACGAGTCGTGCAAGGAGTTTGTAGAAGCAAGTTTTCCGAGTTTCCCTGAACTTGGAGAATGCCGAAACTTTGCTTTCGTCCTGCTACTGAAACCCCAAGTCAGACGAGGGGTGGACATTCTAAAAACACTGCATCCAAGCGCAAACCCTCCCTCTGTCCGGATGGGTATTACAGTGGTTCCCATCAGTGATCATTACCCGCTATTCGCGCCAGCAGGGATGCAACTTTTACCGCAGAAACATTGCCCCTTTCGAAGAATACACAAAGGCGACACACAAAACTATATCGCGGCCCAACTTCCCCAACACGATAATCGCGCCTCCTGCTTTCGCTCATGGGCACCCCCATCCACTCCACCACAAGACACACGAGGCACGGATTGGCAGCATGAGCTTCACCATTCCCATCACATCACACATGCCCCCAAAACCACCACTCGTCGCTTTCATCCATCCACCCACCCTATCCCCAATGGCCAACATGAAGAAGCCCCGCGCGACCCCTCGCAGTGACAGTAAAAACACGCAGCCAGCTTGTTCACTTCCGTCGCTCGATATTCGTCTGAATGTCCTGCATTCTGTTTGCTCCCAAACTCCCTCCTTGCGTCATCCACCGGACCAGAAGTCCGTAGGCACGGTCCTCCGCCTGCCCCTCTGTCCGTCCAGGCTCAATCGCACGGCTCGTGTTTGACCTCGCCCCGGCGCATATCCCTTGCCTCTCTTGACCCAGCTCGCAGTCATTCGATTCAGGGGGAAAGTCGAAAAAGCGGAGAAGCAGAGTCGCGGAGGCGCGGAGAAGCAACCAGGCGGAAAGAGCCCACGAGAGAAGGCGGAAGGCGAGAAATAGCCAGAGCCAGGCGGAAAAGGCGGAGAGAGAGAACGAGGGGTTTGCGGCGGGCGGGCGGGAGGCGGGCGGCATGGCGTCGTTCACGGGGACGCAGAGCAAGTGCAAGGTGTGCGCCAAGACGGTGTACCCCATGGAGCAGCTCACGGCCAACGGCATCATCTTCCACAAGGCCTGCTTCAGGTGCGCCCCACGCGGCCATATCGCCCCACTTGCTACACATGCTACACGTGCTAGCCGCGTGGCCATTCCACGCGCTTAAACTGAGCGACCAAACCACGTGCTTTAGATGCGCACGCGCGCGCCACGTGCTTGGATGACACCCTCGGGTGCTTGGAGCCGTCACGTGACCATTCCACCACATGTGCTCCAGCCCTGCTCCGAGTGAACCTGCCCTCTCCAATCAAACGCACAAAGGTTGCGGTCACTACCGCGTTCCTTTCACGTCTACCGTTAACATTGCTCCACTGACTCGCAGCCATAGCAGTCTCAGTCGGCAGCTACAGCCACTTATAGCACATACTCTATACCTGCTGCAATCTCCGCCGTCCGCGCTCACTCGCGTATGCATGAGGCAGGCAAATGTGGACAAGCCAGCGCTAGCCCGCTATCCCGATCGTGGCGCGCGTGCTCTTGTATGGAGCGACCAGCCTGGAAGAGACATAGACATGTGGGACTAGTTGCCGAGGACATGAGCCGCGCAGGGCACCTGTCGCCCGCTCGCTCTCTCGCTTTCTCTCTCGCTCGCTGTGTCGGATCAGAAACTCGCCGTGGCCGCTGTTTCCAGTAGTATGCATGGATGCGTGGCCGCGGTCCTAGTTGTGGAGGCGGGTGGCGTTGCCGTGCATTGTTCGTCGGTTGATTGTAACAACGCCGCAATTTGACGAGCCTCGAGAGAGATGTCGCTCGTCGAGCCAAAGCGCCAATGCGGCTAGTCGGCTCCGATGCCAGCACGGGTGAATCGCCACGTGGCATGACAAGCATGGCTCCTTCACTCGGACCGCCCCGCCCGCCGCACCAACAAGGCTCATGCTTCTTGCCCGCGCGCGCTTGCCAAGTAACCCCACCTCTCTCATCGTCGCTAACCGTTTCCCTCCCTTCCGTAACCCTCCCCCTCTCCTCTCCCCCCATCCTTCCCCTCCACCCCACCTCCCCCTCTTTCCTTCCCTCCATCTTCCCTCTCCCCGCAGATGCGCGCACTGCAAGGGCACCATTACGGTGAGTTGGGTTAGGCATGGGGTGCGGGGGTTGGCGGGGGAGGAGGGAGAGTGGTGCGGAGGTACGAGAGGCGGTGCTAGGGGGAGACACGCGGAGAGATGAGGGGCGAGATGAACAAGGGGCAGTTCGTAGTTATAGAACTGCATGACAGGAGAGCGAGGAGGTAAAGAATGCCGGACTGGGGTTATAAAAAAACGAAAACGAAATGAGATGACAGTTTCAAAATGAAATGCGTCGTTGCTCCCTCGTCATTACATGGTTGTGTGCTGTAATTGGTCTTTTGCGCATAATTTATAGTAGTACGGCTTTTCTTTTTTGTCTTTTCAAACAAGTAATCTTCCCTCCCCCCCTTCCCCCATCTCCCCCCCTTCCCCCATCTCCCCCCTTCCCCCATCTTCCCCCCTTCCCCTTCCCCCGCCCTTCAGCTGAACTCGTTTTCGGCGATCGAGGGCGTGCCGTACTGCAAGCCGCACTACGAGCAGCTGTTCAAGCAGACAGGGTCGTACTCGCGCAGCTTCGACGGCGCCATCAAAGCCGAGAAGGACGCCACGCCGCCGCCCGAGAGTGAGTCTGAGGGGAGAGTGGAGGGCGGGGAGAGTGAAGGGGGACTCTGGCTGGGGAGAGAGGGAGTAAGAGGGGGAGTGTTGAGGTGAGAGCGGTATACGTGTTGAGAGGCAGAGGGGATGGTCTACGGGTACGGTTGAAGTTCGTACGTGAAGAGGAAAGGTAGCGTGGAAGGGAGATTGTAGAGCAAGGGCTAGAAGCAGAGGAAGAGAAAGGTCAGCGGGTAAGCGGCTGGATCAGGGAGAAGCCACTTGTGCCGATAACACCACGCGGAGAAGAACAATCTTGCTCGTGCTCCCCTACATGGCAGTATGTTCCGTTCTGTCCCCTACAATCAAGCTCTATTCCACTCTCAAGGCTCCGTGGTGAGCAACACTCACAATGAGTGTGCCTCTTGTGTGTGCCTCCTGTGTGTGCGCGTGATCATGCCACTCTCCCATGCCCGGTCACCTACAGGCCTCACACCCTCGGCAGTCGTCAAGTCAGCAGAGAAGGTGAGGCTCGCTCGCCTGCAAATAGTACAGCAGCTGTGCTCCTCGTTCCCTGTCTCCTTAGAGCATGTTCCTTCCCTGTCAACAATGTACGCTTGTCTCAGCAAATCCAGCCACCACCTCCTCTCAGGCCAAGTGAGGTCCATGTCATCTTACAGCCCTCGTGCATCCTCCACCTCCACCCCCGTCCCTCCCGCCCCCTCCCCACCCCACTCGCATCGCCCCTCCATGGCACATGTTGCCAGTGCTTCCCTTACTCCTCACTCAAAGTTCCACCTGCATCAGGCTCTCTCCCCCCCAATCCCGTGGCATCTATTACTTCACCATTTCACTGCAACTGTTATCTCTCCCATCTTCCTCCCTCCCCCTGCCCCCCTCCGCCAGCGGTCCACGCCCAGCCCTTTGGCGCTCAAGTTCGGCGGCACGCAGGACAAGTGCAAGGTCTGCAGCAAGACCGTGTACCCGCTCGAAAAGGTGAGGGGGGAAGATGAGGGGGGAGATGAGGCGCGGAAGATGAGGGGGGATAGGTGAGGGGAGGGAAACTCTTGATGCGCATGTTTCGACAGCCTCATCAGCGCATGCGAGGCAGCAGTGCTCCAGTGTACGTGACGATAAGTGTGGAGGGCGGGACCTACCACAGGCAGTGCTCCAGTGCACGTGACGATAAGTGTGGAGGGCGGGACCTACCACAGGCAGTGCTCCAGTGCACGTGACGATAAGTGTGGAGGGCGGGACCTACCACAGGCAGTGCTCCAGTGCACGTGACGATAAGTGTGGAGGGCGGGACCTACCACAGGCAGTGCTCCAGTGCACGTGACGATAAGTGTGGAGGGCGGGACCTACCACAGGCAGTGCTCCAGTGCACGTGACGATAAGTGTGGAGGGCGGGACCTACCACAGGCAGTGCTCCAGTGCACGTGACGATAAGTGTGGAGGGCGGGACCTACCACAGGCAGTGCTCCAGTGCACGTGTGCACGCATGGCAACCTCACCCCGCATTCTTTGTCCATCTTTGGTATCCCCACCCCTTGTGCGCCCCACCCTCCTCTCATGGCGCAGATCTACGTGGAGAGCGCAGAAACGCACAAGCAGTGATTCCCGTGTGCGTTCACAGCCACCGCACAGCCTTGCACCACAACCTTTGCCCACTTCCCGTTCTCCCCATCCCCCTGCCCTTGCCCACATCCCCATCTCACACCGCAGATCAGCGTGGAGGGCGTGACGTACCACAAGCAGTGCTTCCGGTGCGTGCACAGCAACTGCAGCCTGACCACGTCCAACTACGCGGCGCTGAACGGCAGCCTGTACTGCAAGCACCACTACAACCAGCTCTTCCTCGTCAAGGGCACCTACAGCAACATCAACAAAAATGCTGCCGTCGCCGCTGCCACCGCTGTCACTCCAGAGGAGGGGGCGGCTGCTGCAGCTGCTGATGGTGGCGGTGGCGGTGGCGGTGGTGGTGATAGAGCAACTGCAGTGGTAGCAGCAGCAACGGCAGCGAAAGATGAGAAACCAGCGGCAGCAGCACCGGCAGCAGCAGCGACAACTGCTGCGGCTTCTCCTGCGCCCGCAACGAAGGCCCCTGCGCCTGCTGCTGCTGCTGCTGATAGTGACAGTGATGACGACACTGACACCGACACCGATAGCGACGACGACGACAGTGATTGAATGCCGAGGACAGAGGTTGAAGGCCACATAGGGGCCAACGATGGGGTTCAGTGAGCAGGCGAAGTTGCGAATGGTGGAGGTTCACTTGGGCGCCTTAGTGGTGTCGATTGGTTTGTCTTGTACCACGCAGGCATAAGATAGAGGCATGTGGTATATTAGAGGCGTAACTTCTTGCTTTCTTGTAGAGGCTAGCATGCTGGTCCTAAATTTTGGGGGCCGTTACCCCCACGTATAGGGTAGTTGAGATCAGATGCCATCAAGGTGGTTCGTCTCCCGTATCAGAATTGGTATTAACTCTTTTTTTAAAGCTTTTCAACGATACTTAGGTTTTATGACAAGTACCTAAAATGTTATTCAAAATATCGAATATCGAATGGTAGAAAAACGAACCTACGCTGAACTGAGGGAAGGTGAGTTGGGTGAGCTGGTGCGAGTGCCTCCGTACGCGATGCGGGAAATTGGTCCTGTACAGTGGGGTGGCGTGGCGAAAGGCACGGCACGGGATTCGGGAGTTGCTCGGGGTATAGGCCGAACCATCAAACACAGACTGATGACGCGCTAAAGTGCACTTCATCAAACACTCCATCCCTAGCAACGCGCTGAAGTGCACAGCCTGAGGTTTACAAGCTTTAGTCTTCAATGGGTTGTGTTTTCCAGTACAGGTACGTTTGAAGACTGAACTGAAGGTCCGAGCAGCGTATGCAAGGAAATACAACCACGAATCAGGGTCCTCTTTTCAAAAATCTCTTGTCTGAGCCATCAGAAATGGGTTTTTATTTTTGTCTGAAAATATTGACACTTGCCTGAATATCAGTCAACGCCAAAATGTTTGTCTGAAAAAAAAAACCATAGTAGAAATTACAATGTGATGAATTCGTATCTTTTTTTCTAAACAGTTGAGATATTGTTACTCGTTTCCCTGACCTGACAACCCCTTAGCCTCGACACCACTTCTAAGGGCCTATTTTCCCCTGCCGCTAGTTTCGAAACAGTTTGGCAAAGCTGAAGAGACCCTAGGCGGAAACAGAGGGAGAGTAGTGATCGGTTGGGACACTCCGCAGAAACGAAGTGTCCAGTCACAACATGTGGGGACAACCAATCGCGGCTTATTGGTGCATTCTAGATAAGGGGATGCAATGCAACCCCATATTAGTCGATTCATATAAGGTAGAAACGCTAGTCTAAACAATCAGACAAATTGTAAAACCTTGTCTAAGCCAATCAGACAAAATATTTATTGTCTGCCAAATCAGACGGAGTCGAAAAATACAGTCTGAAAATCAGACGTTCAGACTGTTTTTGTCTGTAAAAGAGGACCATGCCACGAATGTGTGTGTGCAACCATAACGAGCTCGGCTTCAAGGTGGGTAAACAGAGGTGTGTGCGTGCGAGTGGCACATATTTGGCGGGACATGTACAGTCGAGTGTGCGAGCCAGTGGTCCTGAGTGCAAGTGAAGGGCTAACCTGCAAGAGGGAGGGAAGAGGAGAAGGGAAGAGGCGAGGGGGGGAGAAGATAGAGACGTGTCACAACCCTACTGCCTGTGACACATGGTGGTAACCTGTTGTCCTTGCTCTTGCTCTTTAGACCTTGCTTTGGCCACAGGCTCAATCACTCATCGCTCACTCTGGCTACAAAAGCACACACTTGAAAGAAGATACTAGAAGAATGGACCCAACCCAACGCCTGCAAGAGACGGGACCACCAAAACCAGCTGAGAAGAATGGGCCCCGAATGCACCGCAATTTTAAAACAACTGCGAAGCGTTTCCCCATGCATGCATGGATTGAGCAACCATAGGTCAGACATGTACACGCGTAACATACCCCATGTCAAAGACCGACGCTGCTGTCCTCTGTACCTGCCCCCTCTTTCCTCGCCACCAACAGCAGCAACACTCCCCTCCAAGCCAAGCCTCTCCACGATACCCCACACCACATGGCAGGCAGCACAGCACCAACAACCCGACACCACCAAGCACGCCCCCCCACCCCACTGTCATGTCTGCCCACCGCCGCCCCCACCACCACCGCCCTGCGCATCCGCCATGCTGGCAGCGATTGCCCGCGCCAAGTCATCCTCGTACTGGCTCTCCGCCCACGCGCCCCCTGCATGAACTCCATCACCCGCACCCGGTGCTCCTCCCAAACGTCTCCCCACTCCTGCCCAGGGGCCTGCTGCCATGCTTGACCCCCCTCCTGCCGCCTCCCCGTGTGCCCCTGCCCTTGCTCCTGCTCCTGCTCCTGCTCCTCCTATCCCCCCTCCCCCGGCGCTTGCTCTGCTCGCTGCACTTCCCACCAGTGCCTCACTCCCAGCCGCAGCAAGACTAGCCGCCAGTGCGCGTGCCAACTCCCGGTCCTCACCCCCCACACCCCCTTCTCCAAATCCCCCCATGGCAGCAATATCACTGCCATCATCACCACCACCCCTCCCGCCCACCATCCCTCCCATCCGTCCCATCCCCCCCAGTTGCATCTCCCTCTGCTGCTCCGCCCTGACCTCCCGCTCCTCCCACTCCTTGGCCACGGCAGCAGCTGCCAGCTCGTCCCTCGCCTGTCCTGCCGTCACCCAGCGCCCACTGGCAGCGGAGGAGGCGGAGGAGGGCGGGGGGCCGGGGGGAAAGGCGCCGGTGACCACGAAGATGGTCCACCCCTCGGCACGCAACGAGGCGAGGTATGCTGCCAGGTAGAACTGTGCAGTGGGGTTAGGAACGGAAGAGAGGGGGGGGGGGTGTGGTAGAGATAGAGATGAACGAATGTGTTGGTGGTTGGCAACAGGAAGCGACGAGGAGAGAGAGGCAGAGGGAGGCAGAGGGAGGGAGAGGGAGGCAGAGGGAGGCAGAGGGAGGGAGAGGGAGGGAGAGGGAGGGAGAGGGAGAGAGTGGGAGAGGGAGAGCTGCCATGAAGAGTAAGTCGGGTCCACAATATTGCCAGGCATTCGTCGTATTACATCCTGCAGAACCAGCATCACCAACACCTTGGACCACCCAACCTGTCCACGCCCCCATGCCATATCCCATCAGCATCCAATATCCCAATATCCCAATCCCAATATCCCAATCCCAACCCCATGCCCCCCCATGCAGCGGCTGACCTCGGAGAGGTGCTGCGGTGCAGCGAGCAGGCTGTTGAAGTTGAACCAGTGCCCGCCCACCTGCCGCAGCGCAAACCAGTGCCGCTGAGGGGGGACGGAAGAGGGGCCGGGGGAAGCAAGCGGGAGGGGGGGAGCAAGCGGGAGGGGGGGAGCAAGGGAGAGAGGGAGGGGGGGTGAGGGGGGAGGGAGGGATTAGAAGAGAAACAAAACTTTCTGGACAAGAGGGGCAAGGAGGCGTGGGTAAAGTATGAGTTTAGAGAAACAGGTGATTTAAAGAACTGAGTGCCTTCTACCTGGCTTTAAAGAATTGAGTACCTTCTACCTGCGACGTCACTGCACCACCTTCATATCTCCCCCATTCATCCCTCCCCCTCAATCCCCCCCACCCCCCTCGCCCCCGCTCATCTCCCCCGCCACCCCACCTGCAGGTGGCACAGGAACGCAGTCTGCGAGTGCGGGTTTCTCTGCGCGTCCCTCGCCACGCTGTTATCAGCGTCCAGGGGCGTGAGCGACAGGCCCCACACGGACAGAGCCTCGGAGAGCACCTGGCGGCCATGGAGAGGAGCCACGCGGGTTGTTGATGGGGAAACGGGAGGCGGAGGGGGGGGGGGGGTTGAGAAGCCACAACATGCTGTCAGCAGCGTCCAGGGGCGTGAGCGACAGGCCCCACACGGACAAAAGCCTCCGACAGCACCTGGGGAGAGACAGGCCCACGGAGAGACGGGCGACGAGGGGTGTTCATGGGCAAGCGGGGGGGGGGATTTTGCGCCGCCACAACATGCTCTTGGCAGAGTCCGGAGGCGTGTGGGCCCAGGGACAGAGGCTCACATAGCACCTGGCGGCGAGGGAACGAGGGTATGCGAGGAACGGGACGAGGAGGAAAAGGCGCAGATGAAGGGGTCGGGGGGAGGGTGCGGTGGCGGTGAGCGGGGAGAGAGGCGTGGGGGAATCGGAGGCGCATGTCAGCTCGTCGACTCTGACACGCACATGTCAGCTGACTCGCGCGTACGCTGACTCGCGCGTACGCTGACCAACCTGTCTGCTACTCTCAGCATGACAACCGCGCGTCGATCTACCGAGGCGCACCTGGATGCTGAAATCCCCATCCGCCGCTGCGTTCTCCGACTCGCCAGTACCGCCTCCCCCCACGCCCGCCTCCCCCGCCTCCCCCGCCCCGCCCTCCGCCATGACGGCGCGCTCGCGGCGGTCGAGCCCTTCCGCGATGGCGGCGAGGTCGGCGGCGTCGAAGAGCGGCGCCTGCAGCAGCGCGTTTAGGCAGTGCACGCCGCACAGCGCCGCCTCCTGCCGCTCGTGGTACAGCGCCAGCGCGCCGGGCGGCTGCTGCTGCTGCGCCTGCTGGGACTGCTGGTGCTGGGAGACGAGCTGGTGGTCGGCCATTTGTGCTTGCGCTGTGTGAGTTCAGCGTCAGCCGTCAGCTGTCTGCCGGAAGCCGTCAGCCGTCCGCCGCCAGCCGTCCGCCGTCAGCCGTCAGCGTCAGCGTCTAGTAGTACTGTGGATGGTGATGGGAACAGGGGGGCAGGCACGGAGAAGGCGCCACGCGAAGCACCGGATTCCAGGGATCCTTGGCCCCGAAGTCACGACGCGCGACGATGTCAGCAACGGATGGCTACAGATAATAAAGGCACGCGCACGGAGAGGGAGAGGGCGGGGTAAGGAGAGTAGGAGGGCGCTCAGAGGTCCACGTCAGATCGCATCACGCGACGTCGGATCGCAGCAGCGGGGTGCTGTAAGGGAAAGTGAGAGCATAAGCATGTTCTCTGACGTCGGTATTAGTCGACGGAACGACGATGACACGAGATAGACCCGACCCGACCCGACCACCACGGAACTAAGAAGGAACGAGGCAGGGAGCAGAGGGGAGGCCCCAAGCTGTTGCTGATCTTGGCGATAGGGTATGTGGTCTGGTCACACACTCACTTTCACATGACCGACACGCCAAGGCCGCCCGTCACCTCGCCCCCTCGAGAAGGCAAATGGCTATGGGTGGCTGACATTTGATGGACGGGTCTGTCTATTGGCTAAATGTAGGTACATTGTGCCGACTGGTTCGATAAGTTATCATGGGGAGTTCGCTTTTATCGCGCTCATCCGATAGCGCTAGCAATTGCTAAGAAGGATAAGGTTATAAATCAATAAATACTATACATCACACAAACAATGAAAATTAATATAAAAAATACAAAAAAATTCAGCAAGCATGTACAGGGTTTACACAAACATCTCCATTACGCCTTTCTCTACACAAGGCACCTGCCCCTAGATAGCGCCGCGGGATCTGGCAGGCAAATACGAGCGCCCAGTTGTAGGGGGTTGAGGCATTCGTAGCCGTTGATCTGCCTGAAGCAATCATGACTTCCACCAAAGGACTTGGGCAGGATTGTGTCGCATGTGTCAGCCTTGAGAACGACGTACGGTCGTGGGCACGTGGGAATCTGGGGATCGTACGCGTCGGCCCAGCACAACTGAGAATGGGAGGTGGCAAAGGTGGTGCAGAAGAGAAGGGGTAAGGATGCGGGGCAGCTATCCGGGCTCAAGAAATCAGGCAGACGGGGCAAGCGGCGTGGGCTGGTTCTTTGTGTACAAAAGACGGGGACGGGTGCTGATGATCTCTCATGATCAACTGCCAGCAATGACAGACAGTCCTAGTCCGTGGCAACACCACGACAGGCCTGCTCGGGCCACTCACATCGTAGTTGGGAATGACAGCAGCAGCAGCAGCGGGCACGGGCATGGCGAGGCGGTCGCACAGAATCCCCGGGTTGAGCCGCAGCAGCTCCTCCAGACTCATCCCTCCTGCCACCGTGCTGCGCAGCACGTCACACGTCTCCCCCGGCGCCACCGTGTGCACGTGCGGGCACGCCGGCACGCGCGGCACGTATAAATAATCCACCTTGACACAGACAGAGAGGTACGCGGGGAGCGTGCCGTCGGTGCCGACGCTGCAGTCGAGGCCCGGGTTGAGTGTCTGCAGTGCGGCGGAGCAGGGCTTGACGCACGCAGTGGTGGAGGGCGACGTGCACGTCTCATTCTCCACGGGGTCGCAGTTGTCCGTCAGCCCGTGCCGCGTCGCTATGCCCAGACACGTGTCGCTCTGGGGAGGGGGCAGAAGTAGGAGGAGGTGAGGAGAAGGCGCGGGGAGCATGAGAGGTGTGCAGGGGTGGGGGAGGTGGGGAACTGTGAAGATGGGGGAGACGAGGGTGTGAGAAAAAGGGTGAGGACGATAGGTGAGTGGATGGAGAGGGATGGTATGTGCACCACACAGTATGGGCTTCAAACGAATGGGTTCACAACAGAGAGCACGGTGGGACCAAGTGGGTGGGAGTGTGGCTAGGGCTTACAGCGGTGGTGGTGTAGTAGGCAGAGCAGCCAAGGAGAGGCGCGGTGCGCGTGGTGATGATGGTGGTGTTGATGGGGATGGCCGCATTGCAGTCCAGCGCCTGGAGGTAGTTGCCAGTCACGACATAGGAAGGGGGAAGAGAAGGGCGCACGCAGGAAATGGTAAGGGCCGGGCCGGGCCGGGGCGGGTGGAGGAGCGGAGAGAGTGAGGGTGAGGGCAAGGGATTGAGAACAGAAACGAGCGGCCGAGTGGAGAGGGACGTGCGGGCAAGGGAGGGGTAGGCACCGTGCATGCAGCGCACAGGGAGGAGATGTTGGAAAATAGCCCAGATCGCGAGTGAGAGAGAGGGAGGGGAGGGAGGAGGATCACAGGAGGCTCCCACACAATCATGCTTTAGGACAAGGCAAGAGAGCGGGAGGGAGAGAGCGATGGAGGGGTGGGGGCGGTCGTACAGAGTTGAGCTGCTGCAGCTGCTTTAGAGTGAGTCCGAGTGTCTGGTGCACGTGCGCGCACGTCACTTCACCGCCCCTCACTGTGTAGTTGGCCGCCAGGGTGAGCGCTGGCAGGGCAGGGCAGGGGGGGGCGTCAGTGAGGATGCATCTTAGAAAACAACAGGGCTTGTGTCCGTGCAGCACGAAAATGCATCGAATAAGTGATGTCAGCAGGTTGCCAGAGATTGGGAGGGGAGGGAAGGACGGACGAAGGGAGGAGAGATGGGGGGAAGGAGAGGTCGGGGGGAGGAGAAATGGAGGAAAGGAGAGATGGGGGGAAAGAGAAATGGGGGGAAGGAGATATGGGGGGAAGGAGAAATGGAGGGAAGGAGAGATGGGCGGAAGGAAGGAGAGAGGGGGGGGGGTGGGGAGAGGGGAGGGGACGGGAAGAGGGGAGCGAGGACGAAGTACCGGGGGGATGGGAGAAGCAAAGGAGGGACGTAGGGACGGGGGGGGAGAGGGAGTGAAGGGGAGATGGGGAGGCAGGGAGGGAGGGAGATTGAGCCGGGCATGGCGTGAGAGGAGGCGTTTGTGATTACAGGGAGCACAGGAGAAGGTGCCGTCGATGGTGATGCCCTGGCGGTGGTTGGCCGGGCACACGCAGGAGTAGGAGCCCACCCCGTCATTCACACACGTGCCCACGCCACACGGGTTGAAGCCCGACGCCCCACACACGTCCACTGGAGGGAGCCGAGGGGGGAGAAGGGGAGAGGGTGAGGTGATGGGGGATGAGGGGGGGGAGGGAGGGGGGAGAAGAGGGAGGGGGGGCACGTGTATGCGTGCATGCGTGTGTGTTCCGGCAAGCCCGTGTGCATGCTCGTGGGAAAGGGGGAAACAGAGGGCAGCAGGGGAGGCAGGAAGGAAGGTGGAAGAGGTGTACGAGACGGAGTTGGGTTCTAGTGAGAAGCGCAGCAAGAGAGGAGGTGAGAGAGTGTGTGTGTGAGTGCGTGTAAAAGTGAGGTTGAGCAGCTGAGCAGAGTGAGGCAGCAGCGGAGAGACGCAAGGCAGGAGCGCTGCAGAGCAGAGAGCAGAGAGCAGAGAGGGTACCGAGAGTGCAGGTGCGCGAGCCATCGAGGTTGGTGGCCTGCACGTAGTAGGTGCCGTCGCAGGCGCATTTGTTGGTCGTGCCATTCACCGTGCATGCAAACCCCCCACACGGGTTCGCCAGGGGTGTGCCGTCCGGCAGAATCACGTCTTTGTTGCACGCATCCGAGGACGCTGAGGGGGGGTGGGGAGGCAGGGGGGGAGGGAGGGAGGGAGGGAGACAGTGTGAGAGACGAGCGGATAGGGATGAGAAGGGTCGGGCAGGGAATCTGAAGGTTCGAAGGGTGGAACGGGTGCGAGGGATGGACAGGAACGAGAGGTTGAGTGGAGTGGGGTCCGCAGTTGTCCGCAGGAGTGGTTGTGGTGCCAGGGGTCACATGCATGCAAGGACAGCAGGATGTGGGAAGGGAGAAGGTGCGGCGGGGCAGGGGGGGGGGAAGGGTGGAGCATGGGGATGGGACGGGCAAGGAGCGAGTCATACAAGGTGAAGTGCAACACAGGCACGAAACCCAAGGATGCGCAAGGACGAGGAGGTGGAGGGAAGAATAGAGAGAAACGAGTACAACACAACACCTCACCCGCCCCCCCCCCTACTCGCTGCATCCCCCCACTGTGCTCCCCCATCCACACCCTGACCTTTCCCCCCACACCCCCTGCTTCTCGACCTCCCCCTCTCCTCCCGTCCCCCACAACCCGAAACCACCCTCTCGCCCCCCCCTCCCTCTCACATTTGACGACAGGGTAGACGCCTGGGAGCGTGTTGATGCCGCAGACGCCATACCCGCCCTGCATGTCCATGCGCATGTGCCCGCCGTCGCCCCACCCCTCGCCCCACGAGTTGCGGATGATCCAGTAGGGCGCAGCGATGTGTGGGAGAGCGGGGTCGGAGCCCGAGAGCCGGTACCCCACGACCAGCACTGCGTGGTTCGGGGAGAAGGTGAAGCACGCCGGGTCCTGGTACTTGAACAGCTGGGAGCAGGGGGGATGGGGAGGGAGGTGAGGAGGTGACTTTTGAGTCGACTCAAAAGAGAGCCGGGTCTGAGCCCCAGAGGTGGTACCCCACCACGAGCACGGCATGGTTCGGGGAGAAGTTGAAGCACGCCCGGTCCTGGTACTTGAACAGCTGGGCCGAGAGACAGAGGGCAGGGACAGGAGGGGCGGGGCGGGGCGGAGAGGAGAGGGGGAGGGGGGAGAGAACGGGGAGGAGAGAATCAGGGCAGAAGGTGGAGATAAGGTGACGGACAGGGAAAAATAGGACTAGGGAGGGTAAGGGGCAGCGCAGGAGCATGGGAGGAAGGAGAGCTGGGGAACGGATGGGACGAGACGAGGTGTGAGCGATGCACAATGAGCAATGGAGCCATGCGCAGAGCAGAGAGGGCAAGTCACGATCCATCCACGCCACACGTAACGTACCCCGTTGTAGGAGATGAACGATGGGGCTGTGGCCTGGATGGCCACCACCACAGGCTGCTGCTGCACGGCCAGCAGCAGCCCGAACCACCCCATGCTGGGCGCACGCTCAAAGCCCGCTATGGGGAACGTGGGCACCTGGGAGACGGGTGGATGGATGGCAAGAATGTGAGAGGGGGATATGGAGTGGACGTAGCAGCACAGGCGGAAGGAGAGTAGCACAGGGCAGAGAGGAGAGGTCGGGAAGAGGAGAGGCAGGAGACGCGGAAGAGCACACAGAGAGGCAGGTGGGTGGGTGGGGGGGGGGGGGGGGATGGAGGGAGGGAGGGAGCAAGACAGCACTGGCGCTGGAAAAAGGCAAGGTTCACTGACCACAGGTTTGGTCCCTCTGAGAGCAGCAGCAGCAACCCCCATGGGCCGTGTGTACGTGGTCTGGGCAGTGAGCCCGCCCCCGACCTTCCCGCTGGTCACCAAAAACTGCAGCCCCGCCGTGGGGTTCCCGCCCTTGCAATTCGTCTTGAGCGACGTCCTCAGCGGGTCCACCTTGAAAATGGTGGACTTGGACAGATTCCCCACGATGCTGTACGCTGCCTCGATGCTGCCCACGAGGGCGAACGCCCAGCTGTCGGCGCACTTGAGCTGGTCCTTGACGGGCCACGGGAGCCCCATGTCGTTCCAGTTGACCGCGTCCTTGGGGGTCCACTCGCGCGCCGTGGCGCTGGAGCCCACGCTGACGTGGCGCGAGAAGCGGTTGGCGTTGAGCGAGGAGAAGGCGTCCTTGGTGAAGGCGAAGCCCAGGGGATACGCTGGGGAGGGGGGAGGGGGGAGGGGAGGGACGGGGAGGGGAGAGGAGGGCGGGGAGAGGCAGAGGGGGAGAGGGGAGTGGGGAAGGGGGGGAGGATAGGGGAGAGAGGCAAGGTGGGAGACCTGATAAACAAAAAGCATTGGCAGGCTGATTAGAGAACCAGAGGCACGAGACTTGGGAAAGGGGAAGCATAAGGCATGGGTAGCTCACCGACAGTGGGCTTCGGTGCGAGGGCGTTGGGTAGACCTGCAGTGAGCAGCACACGGCAGGGCAAAGCACAATGCAGTGGGGGGAGGAAGCACTGAGCCTCAATGCGGGACCGATAGGGCGAAGAGTCACGAGAGCACAGGAGCAGGAATTTCGATAACAAACAAAACAAAACAAAAACAGAAACAAAAAACAAACAAAAAAACAGAACAGCTACACACACTGATGTCACAATAAGCGGCAGAGAAACACGCACACTCATACACACACGCGTGTGAGCGCGCGTACACACACACACACACACACACACACACACACACACACACACAGAGGCAGCTCAACCTAGAGCACCCCAGCGCACGTACTGGTATTGATGGTGTAGCTCAGAATGACGTTCCTCTGCCCCGTCAGCGTCGTGCTCGCCCCCGTGAACCCCACATAGAACGACTCCTCCCCTTCCACCGGCCCCAGCACAGCGCACAGCGACAGAGGCGCACTCAGCGCCGCCTTCACCGGCTTCACTGCCGTGGCCGCCACAAACACAGACACAGTCCCTGCAGTGTCGCCCAGCGGCACGTAGTCGATCCACGCGTACTTCACCTTCCCATCTCCAAACACCACTGCGGAGGTGGCCGCAGCAACGGAGAAGGGGTTGCCGTTGAGGTTGAGCCCCACGTGGTTCGCCGACATGTCCTTGATCGTTAGGTTCTTATCCTGAAACCCGTCGAACTCCACCGCCACGCTCTTGGCTCCGAACCCCGAGTACCCCAGCCCAAACACATCCCCTGTAGAGGCCGAATCAGCAGAAGCAATCACGAACGCGATCCCTCCAGAAGATTTTTTCCCCGGGGCGGGGGTGAGCTGGAAGGAGAAGGCGACGGAGAAGGCGAAGGGGCGGCCGCAGCCGGCCTTGCGGAGAGCAAAGGAGAAGAGGCGCGTGGGGGCGGCGAGGAGAGCCGCGCCCCACTCGTTGGCGCTGAAGGTGGTCAGCATGATGGTGCCGTTGCTGGCGTCTGCTGTTGCTACGTTACTGCCGGTGACGGTTGGGAGGGAGGATGAGCGGAGGGTTGTGAATAGCGGGAACGAGGGAGCAGAGGCTGGTTGGGGGGGAACAGGGTGGTGGGGGGATTGGGTGGGTCGAGAGTGGGGGAGAGAGGGGTGGGGAACAAGGAGGGAGAGGGGAGGGAGCATGATGAGACGTGGGCAGTGAGCAGGTCGTCAGAGGTGGTGGTGAATTCAGTGGGCGCTACTAAGGAATCACGGCGTGAGTTCGAAGGTGAGCGAGAGGGGATCAGTGACCGCGGGAGTGCACAAGAGTGCGTGCAAACACAGCGGAGCATGAAGAAATGAGGGCGAGGGAGGGCGGAGAGGATGAGAGAGAGAAGGACGCAAAGAAGTGGGAAAAGACGGGAGGGAGGGTAACGGGTGGCGGTGGGGGTGGGCGGGTGAGGGAGTGGGGGGGGTGAGGGGGGGAGGAGAGAGACGGTGCTTCTCTGCTGGAGACATGGGGATGTGGCTCCCCTTGGCCAGCCCAGCCCATACGGCGCCCACGAGACTCACAATCCACGCAAGTCGCGGGGTCCTCCCCATTCTGAAACGAGTCCTCGCACGAGCACACCCCTGCCTGAACCGGCTGCTGCGGCAGCAGCGCGCACATGCCCTGCCCGCCGCACACCTCCCCCTCTGGCGTGGCCGCGGGCGCGAGTCCACAGAAAGCGGCACACTCCGCGTCCGTCCTCTGGGGCATGGCGTCGCAGACGGTGGGGGGGATGCAGTTGCGGCGGAAGGAGAGCGTGGCGGGAGTGACAGCGGGGTCGCAGGAGGAGGCGTCGAAGACGGTGGAGGAGAAGTAGTTGTTGTCGTACCACGCTGTGCCGTTGGCCAGGGCGTCCACCTCGCCCACCAACATGTTGCTGCGGACGTCACTGGGAGACGGAGATGATGGGGGGGGGGGGGGGGGGTGGGAGGGAGGTGGTGGGGAGAAGAAAGTGGGTGTGTGGCTTGGCTCGAGAAGGAACAGGCGTAGAGTGAGGCAGTCATGTGGGAACGTCAGCATAGGAGCACGTAATTAGCAGCATGTGCATGCGGCCACGCGGGTGGGAGCATGCACTTACAGCGTCCAGCGGGAGGCAGTGCGGGCGAAGTACTGCGGCGGTACCGCATCCGAAAACGCGTTGCTGCTAAAGTCACTGCGGGGAGACGCGAGAAGCGACAGTAACAGTCCGGGAAAAAGGGGAAAGCAGAGCGCGGGGGTGGGGGGGGGTGGTGGTGGTGGTGGGGGGGAGGGGGGTGTTGGGAGAAATGGGGAGAAGGATTAAGGACGTACAGAGGTGTGTTTGGAAGTCGGATGTGGGATGTGAACAGCAGGGTGGACACGAGAGACACGGGACAGGGGATATGAAGATATGGCATCTGACGGCCCAACAGGTCTGTGGTCCAGGGTGAGGTTACGGGACGAGTGGTGCACGGGGGGCAGGGTGCACACTTGGCTGAGGGGCACATAATGGCCCCATGGCATGACTTACCATGGAAGCATAGAGAGCGCACAGCAGCTGGACGAGGGGGGGGGGGAGGCAGGCAGGCAGGCAGGCGGGAGGGAGGGAGGCAGGGAGGCAAAGAGGGAGGGAGGCAGGGAGGGAGGGAGGGAGGGAGGGAGGCAGGGAGGGAGGCAGGGAGGCAGGGAGGGAGGCAGGGAGGGAGGCAGGGAGGCAGGGAGGGAGGCAGGGAGGCAGGGAGGCAGGGTGGGCACTGACACGTAGACGAGTCCAGTGGTGCCGGCGAGCGAGGAAGGCAGGGCCCCGGAGAGCATGTTGCGAGACAAGGAGCTGGGGGGGGGGGGGGGGGGGGGGGGTCAGGGGTTGAGAGGGGCGCGATGGGATAATGAGCCGGTGAGGGGGGAATCGAGGACGACGCAAGAGGGGCAAAAAAAGAGGAGAACGGATGAGGAGTGTGGACGAGGAAGGGAGCTTTGGGGGGAAGGGGAAGGGGAATGGAGAACAGGTTAGGTGCATGTAAAGGCTGAGAAAGAATTTGGGGCGGGGGAAAGGGTGAAGCATGAGATGGCGAATGTAGATGGCAAGGGTGTGGGAGGTACAGGAATTGCAGCGAGGCGAGAGCTGAAATGGACTCGGGGATGGAGCCCGTCAGCAGATTGTCGTCCAGCTCGCTGCCATGGGAGCAGCAGGGGAGGAGGGGAGGAGAGGGGAGGGGAGGGGTTGGGAGGGAGAGGAGGGGAGAGGAGGGAAAAAGAGATGAGAAGAGATCTGGTTGCTACAGGATTGGTGCATTGAAGGCAGGGGAGACAACAAGGGGAAACGCAAGCACAGCAAGGCAGACAGATGCTTAGAGCTGGAGGCACATGGCTGTGACTGGCACAGGTTTGTGCAGCAAGCGACACGTGCAGCAAACGACACGTGCAGCAAACGACACGTGCAGTAAACGACACGTGCAGCAAGAGACGTGTGCAGCAGGCTCACAGGACTTGGAGGTTGGAGAGAGTGAAGAGGGCGGAGGGGATGGTGCCGTTGAGCTGGTTGCTGCTAACGGACCTGACGAGGGGCACAGGCACGGGGTTGAGGGGGAGAGGTGCAGAGGGGCAGAGGGGCAGAGGAGAGAGGGGGAGAGGGGAGGGGGGATGATGTATGGGGGCGAAGTGGGTTGATCTATGCTGACACGAGTTGCCGTCAGTCCTCATGCACCATTGACAAGTGCGCCGTGCGCAGACTCAGGGCACGGTGGACTAGCAGAAAGACAGCCTCCGTCTCAGACAGATGCGACGATAGACGGATGGACGGATGGCACTGCTAACCGAACCGGATGAAAGACTGGTTTGGTTCCAAAGAAGCGGGGGACAGACAGAGACTGGGGAAGGGGGACGGGCGGGGTGCATGGAGGCCAGTCAGCGTGAGAAGGGAGAAGCAGGAAAGGCGGCGAGGAGTAAGGGAAAGATAGAAGCAGAGTCCGAAGCAGGGCGAGAGGGTGAGGGTGAGGGCAAGGGGCGAGCAGCGCACTCACAGCCAGGTGAGCGAGGTGAGAGCACTGAGGGAGGCGGGCAGAGAGCCCTGGAAGCCGTTGCTGGACAGAGACCTGGCCACGGAGGAGGGGGGGAAGGAGGGGGGGAAGGAGAGGGGGAAGGAAGTGGGGGAAGGAGGCAGGGGAAGGAGGGGGAGAAGGAGGGGGGAAGGAGGGGGGGAAGGAGGGGGGGAAGGAGGAGGGGAAGGAGGAGGGGTGGGGGGGGGAAGGACGGGGGGAAGGAGGAAGGGGGGGGGGGGGAAGGACGGGGGGAAGGACGGGGGAAGGACGGGGGGAGGAGGGGGGAAGGAGGGAGGAAAGGAGGGGGGGAAGGACGGGGGGAAGGACGGGGGGGAAGGAGGGGGTGAAGGAGGGGGGGAAGGAGGGGGAAAGGAGGGGGAAGGAGGGGGGGAAAGGAGGGGGGGGAAGGAGGGGGGGGGAAGGAGGGAGGGGAAGGAGGGGGGGAAGGAGGGGGGAAGGAGGGGGGGAAGGAGGGGGAGAAGGAGGGGGGAACGAGGGGGGGAAGGAGGAGGGGAAAGAGGGGGGAACGACGGGGGGAACGACGGGGGCGAACGACGGGGGGGAACGACGGGGGGAAGGAGGAAGGGGAAGGAGGGGGGGGAAGGAGGGGGGGAAGGAGGGGGGGGAAGGAGGGGGGGGGAAGGAGGGGGGAAAGGAGGGGGGGAAAGGAGGGGGGGAAGGTGGGGGGGAAAGGAGGGGGGGGAAGGAGGGGGGGAAAGGAGGAAGGAGTCAATCACAGCATGGGCGTTCCGTAGGAAGGGCAGCACGGTGCCAGCGCCGACAGACAGAAATGTTTGGTCATAGTAAGGATGTGAATCCGTCAGGGAAGTGGAGACGGGAGGGAGGTGGAGGATGAAGCGGCAGGGGAAGAGGAGAGCGAGTGAAGGAGTGAGGGACAGAGGCGAGATGAGGAAATTGATGATGTTAGTGTAGGGAGGGAGGGAGCGACACGACACTGAAGGGCACATGGAGAAATGAGCTTTAAGAAGTGGAAGCCCCGTGGACCATTGAAGGACCATACGGAAGAGAAGCAGGCAGAAGCCCGGTGATTGAACCCGTTTGACCCTGCTCACACATCTCTATGTCCCGATACAAGCCACACCCCCACACCCGCACACCCTCCCTCCCTTCACTCTGCTCCCCTCTCCCCCAAACCCCACCTCTCCACCCCCACCCCTCCCTCCCCCCATCCCCCTAGCGCCCGCCCTGCCCCCGTGTGCGTACAGTTCGATCAGGCCGGTGAGTCTGCTGAGCTGCGAGGGAATGAGACCACTCATGCTGTTGCGCTGTAGCACACTGCGGGGGGGGGGGGGGGGGGGGGGTGAGGAAGGGAGAGCGGAGAGAGAGGGGAGGAGGGGGAGGCAAACGGGGAGAGGGGGGTCAGGGGGGTGGAGGGAGAATGGGAAATACGTGGGGGGAAGGGGAGTTGCGATGCGTGCATGGGATGTAAGGAGCGCAAGGTGCATGCATGCGCATGGTCGTGGTGATGGGATATCCAGAAAGTGAGGAAGGGTGTGGCATGGCATGGCACAACATGGCATGGCATGGCATGGTGAAAGCGTGCTTACAGCGTTTGGAGGAGAGTGAGGTTGGAGAAGACGAGAGGAATGCTGCCGGTCATTGTGTTGGCTAGCAGGTCCCTGTGGCCATGCACACATGCCATATGCCAGCCACACATGCCATATGTCCGCCACACATGCCATGAAATACACAACACAGGCATACGTGCCATACACGACACATGCGTCAAAAGCATTGTGTACATACACACACACACACACACAGATTGCTGGGTGGAGGGCTCAGTGCATGCCCTGAGTAGCGGAAGGCTGCGAAGCACCGCTGAGCTGAAGGCGGCACGCACGTGGAACATGGGTGAGAGAAGGGCCGGGAAAGGTGGGGGGCTCGGGGGCGGGGGGAGAAGGGGACAAGTGTGCAAGAGGCGGGAATGGGGGCTAAAAGGAGGGAGAGGAGGGGTGGAAGGGGGGAGAGGGGGACTGACAGTCGCATGAGGGAGGAGATCTTGCCCATCTGCGAGGGAAGCGAGCCTGATAGCTGGTTGTAGGCTAGATCCCTGGTGGCCACAGCATGCACAGAGGGCGGGATCGAGGACACACAGGGGATGCTTATATGTGAGAGTGCATGTGCGGTTGTGAGCGTAAGTGCGTGTGTGGTTGTGAGCATAAGTGCGTGTGCGATTGTGAGCATAAGTGCGTGTGCGGTTGTGAGTGTGAGAGTGTGTGCGGTTGTGAGTGTGAGTGTGTGCGGTTGTGAGCGAGAGAGTGTGTGCAGTTGTGAGCGTGACAGTGTGTGCGTGCATGTAAGCCCGCACATGCACACGAGCACGGGGAAGGGCAGAGAGGGGGAGAGAAGAGGGTGGGGTGGGGGTGGGGGGGGAGGGATGAGGCGGGAGAGGTGGGGGGGAACAAAGAGTGGGAGAGGGGACGTGGGAAATGGAGAGCAAGGGAGGTGTAAAAGAGAGGCATGGTGCAGCAGGGGGAGAGGGGTCAAGGCTCACATGTACTGCAGTGTCGCAAGAGTGCTGACAGAGGCAGGAATGCTCCCGGACAAGTAGTTGAAGGAGAGATCCCTGGTGCACCGCAATACAGACACGCACACGCATGTGCATGCGCACACCCACAGGCACACCCACACGCACACTCACACGCTCACCCGCATGCACACGCACACGCACGCAAACGCGCACGCGCACACGCACACGCACGCACACGCGCGCACACAGACACACACACACATACACACACACACACGCACACGCACACACAAACACACACAAACACAGACGCACACACACGCACACACACACACACACGCACACACACAAGCACACACAAACACAGATGCACACACACGTGCGCGCGCGCACGCACGCAGGCAGGAATGATGTGGGAGGAACAAGTGTTGGTGAACCATGCAAGCGCATCCAGAAGCCGCAGCCTCTTTCACTTCCCACGGCAAGAAAAAAAACAGGTTCTCCTCCTCACAAGGCCACAAGGGGCGTCGCATGGAGGCAACTTGCAAGCGGGCGAGAGGCAAGTGCCAGGGGCGGGGCAGTGCAAGCAAACACACTGGGGTAGCAGGTGCTGTGTGCTCCGAATGATGGTGCACGTACAAGGGGTTAGCCGACATACAGGGTCATAAGGTTGGGCAGGTTGAGCTTGGGAGGCAGCGGGCCTGTCAAACTGTTTCCTGCGAGGTATCTGCCACACACAAGTATGGCACGGTGTGCCATGTGTATTGCGTGGCATGGCATGGTGTGGCGTGGCATGGGATGGCATGGTGTGGCATGGCAGGGCATGGTGTGGCATGGCATGGGCATGGCGTGGCGTGGCATGGCATGGCGTGGCATGGCATGGGCATGGCATGGCGTGGCATGGCATTGTGTGGAGCCGAACGCAAGGGTGGTAATGGGGAGATGGTGGGAGAGAGGGAAGGTGGAGCCACATGAGGGGTACGAATGGAGAATGTGAGGAGACGAGTAACCACTGTGCAACAGCAGGCGAATCAACATTTTCATACATGCGCACGCAAGCGCGCAAGCGCGCGCGCGCACTCACACACAGTCACACGCACAGATGCATAAACGAACGCACACACACGCACACACACTGGCACGCCTCTGTGTGAGCACAGAACCCCTCCCAACCCCACAACTCTTTCCCTCCTTACCCAACCCCCCTCGCCTCCCTCCCTCCCTCCGCCCCTGGCGTACATTTCTCCTGCACCCGGCAGTGCTGCAAGGGCCGGCGGTATGCTCCCCGTCAGCTGGTTCAGGGATAGATCGCTGCAGGGGCGCGGGCGCGAGGGAGAAAGGGAGAGAGGGAGAGAGGGAGGTGAACGAAGTGTCCCCGCTGGAGTGGCCCCCCTTGGGGGGACCCGATGCGGGCATGTCCCTCGGGGACTGCTTCGCCGTGCTAGAGCATTAGGGGAGGGAGGGGGGGTGGTAGGACCAGGTACTAAACCTCCCCACCGGTAGTATTTACCTGTGCCTGCTCCTCTTGCCTAGCATGTACCCAGGATTTCCCAGCAACAAAGGACCATTCGAGAGAGGGAGAAAGGGAGAGAGAGAGGGAGAGGAGGGGACGGAGAGGAGAAAGGGGAGAGAGAAAAGGAGAGAAGGGGTTGAGAAGTGGGGAGAGCGATACAGGAGAAGTGGAAGGATGCAGTACAGGAAGGGAGCCGCGAGGACAACGAACTGCGGGATCGCAAACTGCACGAAAGAAGCATGCATAGTGCTTTTGACCCGAACGGCAGAAACATGCCGCTCAGATGGAACAGCATAGCACTACGTGGACAGTACGGAGCTGAAGGACTTCCCATGGCTGGCGATGGCATGGTGATGAGTGGCCGCAGCATGGCGTGGCGTGGCGTCACGTGGTGTGGCATGGTGCAGCATGGCACGGCATGGCACCACATGGCAATGCATGGCGTGGCGCGGCAGGCCATGGGAATGGCGTACAGAGTGGCGAGGTTCTTGAGCGTGGCGACGTTGGGGATGGAGCCCGTCAGCAGGTTGCCCTTCAGCCGCCTGCCGCCACCACACACACAGCGCGCAGCGCACAGGGGAGAAGCAGGGTGGGCAGGCGGAGGGGGTCAGGTCAGGACACAAAGCAGCACGGGGAACAGCAGGAGGAAAGGCGAGGAGGAAAGGCGAGAAATGGCGCAGGCAGGTACGTGATATGGCATGGCATGGACGGGCGGGCATAAGGCGCATGCACTGCCTCGCTGCAGTCCTTGCTGCACTGCCTTGCTGCACTGCCCGCCCTTGTCTTACGGCACACCTGTGTGCCCTCCCCTCTCCCTCCCACCCCCTCTCCGACTCGTTCACGCATGCACGCCACACCCAGAGCCGCCCTCCAGCGCATGCTCTGCCATCCAGTGAAGCAACTCACAGGCTCTGCAGCATGGGCAGCTTCGCTATTGTGGAGGGGATGGTGCCACTGATGTGATTGTAGTCCATGTGACTGCGAGGAGCGCATTGGGTGGGGGGGAGGGAACGGGCATAGAGACGAAGAGAGGGGGAACGGAAGAGGATGGGGAAAAGAAAGAAGAGAGTTAGTGAGGGATGAGGGGAGGAGAGGGGGGAGAGAGGACGGAGAGAGGAGGGGAGCTGGGGGAGGTACGAAGAGAGCATACAGTCACGTGACAAACACGAGGGTGGGACATGCTCCCAACCAACCCCCCACATACGTACGGCCGGCCACACGCTCACTGCATGCATGTGACACGGCCATGCGGCATGTTCGGCTGTCTAGCTCGGCGCAGAGCAGGGGCGAGGTGGGCGAGGAGGGAGCGAGGCTCACAAGTATTGCAGGGACGCGAGCGCGCTGATGCCGCTAGGAATAGACCCGTACAGGTCGTTGTCCGTCACGTACCTGGGGGGGGGAGCGAGGGACGGAGAGGGGGGGAGAGGGAGAGAGCGAGAGTGAGAGAGAGAGGGGGGGATACAAGGCGGGGAGGAGGGGACGGAGGGGGAGGAGAGGAAGGGCGAGAGAGATTGTTGGCAACGAGTAACAGCACGGTGCAGACACGGAGCCATGTGAGGTTGAGCGAGCGGCATAAGAAGGGAGGAAGGGGGGGGGGGAGGGGGAGTGGGTGGGGGGGAGTGGGGGGGAAAGGGGGAGAGGGTGTGGGGGGGGGGGAGGGGAGGGAGGGAACGTCGTGCAGGTGGTGAAGGCAAGGCGGCGAAGACCCACGCAGAGTACCACGAGCATGCTGGCAAGGAGATCGCGTTGGTGATGGGGGAGCGGCGGAGCACACAGCGCACAGCACATTCGCAGGCTAATGGAAACCCGGCACCAGTCAGACCAGTCGCCATGACTATGTGGGCCGCTCGCGTGCCTACCGGCCCCCCAACACAGATGCTTGCACCACCTTGTCACAGTGGCGGAGGCGGTGGCGGCGTCGGCGGTGGCGGGGGTGGTGGCAGCAGGAGGAGCAGAAGCAGGGAGGGCGAGCTTACAGGCCAGTGAGGGCGATGAAGTAGGAGATGATGTCGGGAATGGGGCCCACCAGCGACCTCTGCTGCAGATTGCTGCACGCGCACCGTGCACGGACGAGCGGCAGAGGAAGCGAGAGAGACACACACACGTAGGGGGAGAGAGAGAGAGAGAGAGAGAGAGAGAGAGAGAGAGAGAGAGAGAGAGAGAGGGAGAGAGGGAGAGCGAAAGACGACGTTAAGAGCCGGGAGATCCGAGGGGAGGAAGGAAGGCACGCAACCAGCCAGGATTCACCGGTGACCTGATGCATTAGGTTGCGACCCCAATGGGAACGAGCAAGCATCGATAGAGAAAACACTCTGCTCTCCGCCCCCCTCCGCCACTTCAACAGTGACCACACCGCCTGAACGCCCGCGCCCGCCCTTGGGAGAAGCGGCCCTAGCCCCGTACCCCGCACTAGCGACACGCGCACTTCCCCCGCCTCTCCTTCCTGCTCGCTGGCCTGTAACTCACAGCGCCGAAAGCCCCGGCACCTCTCCGTCATGCCCCCAACACACATCATCACACTCCCGCACCCACCACACCCGCCGCTCCGCCTCCCCCTCCCCATCCCCCTCTTCTCCCCCCCCCCCCCCCTCCCCCTCACATCTCGACGACGTTGCCGTCGGCGGAGCAGAGGATGCCTTTGAACACGGCGACGTCGTCGGAGCCGTCGCTGATGTCCTCCATGCACATCGACCCGTACGCCCACGTCCGCGCCTCCAAGAAGTTGCCGCCCCACGCCGCCCGCAGCTGCCCCAGAAAGCCGTCTGCGCGCACGAGGGGGGGCCCGGGAGGGGCGGGGGGGACCGGGGGAGGGAAGAGGGGGGAGGGACGGAAGAGGTGAGGAAGACGGCGGGAGGGGGGTAGGAGGGTGACAGGGGAAAGGACGAGAAGAAAGGAGAGGGAGGAGGACGGACGGTCGAAGCGCGGTGGTGGGTGGTTTGAACAGATAGCTGTGGCGGACCTATGGCGGTATGGCTACGGTGATGTGATGTGGGGAAGAGAAGACAGGGCAGAGATTTGGTGGGGGAGAGACTGCACACAACGGGTGAGGAAAGCGGCGGAGTAGTGTGAAAACGACGAGACAGGAGTTGGCGAAGTAACCCTCGGAGTTGACGCGGTAACCCTAGGAGTTGACGCGGTAACCCTAGGAGCTGAGGCGGTAACCCTAGGAGCTGAGGCGGTAACCCTAGGAGCTGAGGCGGTAACCCTAGGAGCTGACGCGGTAACCCTAGGAGCTGACGTGGTAACCCTAGGAGTTGACCCAGTAACCCTTGGAGCTGAGGCCGTAACCCTTAGGAGCTGGTTTTCGTGTCTTCGAAAACCAGGTTTCCTGCTTGCCCCAGCGGGGCTCAAAGACACGGACGTTTCTGATGAGGCTCCCCGCAGCGAGGCGAGAGAAAGAAACCGACGAGATAGCGGCCCGGTCGACCAATGCGATACGAGACGGCTAGTAGAGATACGCGAGACTGCGGTAAGCGCCAAACGAGCGGGAAATCCACATCCGGAATGGCTAGTATCGGCCCGGTGAAGCTCACACTCCATCAAGGCTCACACTCCATCAAGGCTCACATTGCATGGAGTTGACGGCCACCAGCGCATTAGCCGGGCTGGCGAAGCCGGCAAGGCCGGCGAGAAGAAACACCGCCACGCAAGACACCCAGCGGGGCGGAGCTGAAAATCTTAATCTCCTCATGGAGGTAGGACTACGTGGATTCCGGGTGCCTGGTTGGACGACGAAGCTGACGAGGGAATGCAGCGGGGAACGCGAAGCCGCGAGGGTAGGTAGACCGGGACTTAAGGGGAAGGAGATTCGACTACTAGCGAGGGAGGGGGTATCCCGACTGGCAATGTAACGAGAGTTAGGAACGACCTACTTGAGTAGCCTGTAAGATAGTATTGCGAGCTGGATTCGCTTTCAAGCGTTGACAATCAATGTCGCGTTAGGGTTACTTCAACGTAAACTAGCGAAAGTCCTACCGACTCGCCTGGTAACTCGTGTGCTATGAGCCAAATCTTGAACGTAGTCTGCCAGTCCTTCAGAACCCTGTCGTTATGGTTCGATATGCCTCTAGCCTGCGTGTCACTAGTTCTCGGGTTCAGGGAAAATCTACCATTTCAAGCTCGCTGTGAGCTGCACGTCGCGCGCGGGGCTAGGTAAACCTTCGAAGAATGGATTTGAGGTGGGACTGGCGGAAACAGTGCACGGGAGGAACACAAGCATAAAATAACGACGGTGGCCGACGAAGCACAACGAACCCTAGCGTTCAGTTCGTACAGTACAGAACTAAGTTACATAATGTACTGTACAGAGGTGGTTGGGTGGGTAGGTGTGTGATGTGGTGGATGCATGCAGAACGCGGGGACGGTGAGGTCGGTGGTTCCCCCCCTGCCGTAAAAGCTGATCGTCAGGAGTTAGGGTAGAAAGGCAGGAAATGCCAGAATGTGTATTGCTCTGGATTATATGACGACAGAAACACGTTCGTTGGCACATAGTCCAAAACGCTGCCAAACGGACAGGCTGGTTGCGTTTGCTGCTTGCTTGGCTGGCTCGCAGCAGGTTAGTGGGTGGCGGGCAGCAATCTACAAACCAGCCCAAAAACGGAACCCTAGGCCAAGAGGACAAGCGCAGGAGGGGAAAGGGAGGAAGCTGAAGCCAGGCGCCTGAAAGCCAGAAAGGAAGGGGGAGGCGGTGGTGGCGAATCCGCGTGGACGGTGGTGTGCTGTCGGCAGGGAGGGGTGAAGCGGGGAGAAAAGGGGGGGAGAGGAGAGCAGTGACGGGCGCAAAGGATGTTTTGCAGGAACCAGTTAGGCAGTATCCGTAGAAATGACATGTCATTTCCGCAGGGTCACACGATTCGATTTGACACTCGACGGCATTTGTTTGCAGAGTGTCAATTTCACCTGGACCCAGCCATGAATAAAAATTGTCGAATCACAAGCTGATGGAAGTGTGGATTAGTCGTCAGCCAACCAAAATCGTCGCTACGAACTACTTGACCAGCTGCTCTCGCCCAATCAACGAAAGGCCAGCATGATGCCTCGAGATGCGTTGGTAGATTTTCCCCGCCAACAACGTAGATGCGCCTCGACTGCTGAAGGATCGTCGTTTCAAATCGGCGTTGGCCAATGACCAGTCTTCGCTAATTTTCGTGAGCGCGACTCGATTTGACACGACAGCTACAGTGTTTAACCCCCAAACGTGGGCGCGCTCTGAGTTGACACAGCCAAACGTTACTTGTCATTTCTACGGATGCCACCTTACTGTGTGGTTGCGTGACCTGGGTGCCGTTTTCATTCACCCACTATGAAGGGGCACTCCAGAGATCCAAGGTCGCCTAGGTCTAAAATCGATTTTGTCTACTGTATAAGGGGCTACTTCTCCAAGTGTTTCGGATGTTGACCCCCTCCATGCAGATTCGTGGATTCGGTGAAGGCCATGCGGCACACCTGTTCATGTGAATTTGGCATAGTGCAGGCATACACCTAGCACCACATCTCGAGCCCGACTAGTCGAGAGCTCCCATAGTTCGAGATTTTGGGGGGGGAGGGGCTGATGAATCAAGGAGTACAGCGAAAAATATATTATGATTACGGGATGTAGTACACCTTTACTCCAGTGAATGTTTTATTCATTAGACGTCAAGTGTCTATATACAGATCCATTGGTTCGAAAACACGGGCAACGGTCCAACCCACAGAGGCCCAATGAGCTCCATCAGTTACCACATCTGATACTGAGACCTCCAAACGTGCAAGCCTCACACTGTTGCCCGAGAAACGCAAGAGAAACAACAATGGTCACCCGCTTTAGGCTGAAAATGCCAAATAGGTAACCAGACTACCCTATACTGGCCCATTTCGCCCGTGAAAGTTTTGCGCTCGATTCTGGATTACCCACCCAAAACAAAACAGGGTTTGAAAAGGACTTCATGTGTAGTCACATTACGGGTGCGTGCTGATGGAGGCTTCTGGACGAATGTTGCACAGCATACACCCCACTCGCATGTTCCTCACTGTCATATCACACCAAGTTGGCTCTGACGGAGTGTGAGCGAAAACAGGTAGGCGCAATGCAGGCGAAATCTATGCATCATTGCCTAAAGCCCAAACAAGGAAATTGTCTACCGCATTTGCCCGGATTTAAGACCCTGAAACTTTAAAGCCCCAATTGGGCGTATTTCCGGCATGTCTTTTATCACGGATTCTCACTCTATAGACCCGTTCTTCCCGTTGTATATAGGATAAGCCCCTTTTAACCCTTTCTATTGAATATGTCTACTTTTGATACAAGTTGACAGGTCGAAGCAAAAGGCAAGAAACGAGGCATCTGCGCGACTGGGGGGAGCTGAGCCCGTCTGGCGGTGCGAGGTAGGAACGAGGGTCACGCCTATCCGGTTGTGCCATCTGGCAGGAAATCGGGTCCAATTTCCCTCCAACAGTTCGTCATCCAGTTTCGATGTCAAAACCTCGACAGGGAAATGTGAAACAGGAAGGGTAACAGAAAAACACTTCTATTTGTCCATTTTACCTTATACATTTCATGAGCCCTGTATCTTCTATTCATTTACTCAGTTATAAGAAACGCCCCTAAATTGCTCCTAAAACGATATAAGACTATGTAGTGCTATATCCGGGCAAATACAGTATGACATTCCTGAAACTAACAGTCTTGATGATAACCGTCAGAATAGCACGAAAACTTTGACATCTAACGGAGAGGGGGAGATACAAGTACACAAATATTGTACCCCCTAAGTGCTGACCTAGCTAGGATTTCTAAACACAAATAACTAACCTAGAATATGTATATTACTTGATACACCCCCTAGTTTAGGTAGAGGCAGGGTCTATCAAACCAAGGCAACACTACTAGTCTAGCCTCTGATGTATGTAATAAAAAAACTAAGGGCAGCACTAGTCTGACCACTAAGATAAGGGCCACAAGGCCCGTCAGCAAGTGTAGCAAGACAAATAGGTATAGAACAGCGATTACAAGCCGGTATAGCATCGATTCGGATACAAGATAACATAAGATCAAAGATAAGATAAGATGAGATCGTCTACGTACACTAATATGTAAAACGGGGTTGGACCCGTGTGAACAAAGAGAGAGGGGTTAGCAGAGGACGGAAAGAACTGCAGCTCAACAAAAGTGGTGTGAAGCGTGTCGTGCCACTCACAGGGTGCCTGTCAAAGACCGTAGATAGGGCGGCGCAGGCTCCACTCGGTCCCAGATGGGAAGGACCCATAAATGCATAGAGGGCGCCGGAGGTAGTTTTGCTCGTGCAGACTACCCTGCAGGAAAGCTGTGGAGAATTTGAGAGAATGAAGCTCGTAGTCGCGCTGCACGGCTAAATGAACGAGCACCCGAAGAATAGTCACCTTCGGGGTTGGGGAGAAGGTCTAGAAGAAGTCCACACTGACTGAAGCCTGTAGTCACGTAGCGCGCCTTGAACTTCGGCACCTCTCCAGGTGTGCGCTTCACCCTGTAGATCCACATGTCATCGACTACGTTCGCCCCTGGCGGGGGAACTACGTTGACGTAAGTGCCTCTAGATCTATAGGATGCCATCTCAGCCTCCATGGCCTGTATCCACTGGCCTGCCCAGGGCCCCAACACCGTCTCAGCGTAAGCGCGTAGAAAAGGGATGTCGAGGGCGTCTGGGTCGCCCTTTGGGAATACAAGCGTGGAGCAGAGATGGGGTACAGTGGCAGCAAGGTAGGCTAGCTAGTATTGTCTGTCCTCTAGCACGTCACTGCCAAGGGCAGTCGCACCCCCGACGGATGGAGGACGGACAGTACGAGATAATAGAGCTGCAGCGTAGTCAAGGTGGTGGCTAGCAGCGAAGTTAGTGATAGCAGCGACAAGCGCAGAGACAGACGCAGAAGGAGCAGTAGGGTCAGTGACGAGTGACACAAGCAATCGCGAGAGGGCTGGACGAGCAGTGCGAGCAACGTCAGAGGGAAGAGCAGGAGACGACGGGAGCGACGACTGGGGAGGCAACGGGAGGATTGTGATTGGAGGAGCACGCTAACGAAGGACCATAGGGTGAACACTAGCACGAGGAGAGACAGGACGCGCACCAGAGGGACGACGGACCGAGTGGGGAAGAACTGGGGACTAGGGACAAGGGGAACAGGGCGACAAGTCGGGGGACGGAGGAGAGTGCAGGGGGAAACGAGCCGGAGAGGAGTCCGGGGGATGGAACAACGGGCCGTAAATAGGGGCACGCACCGTAGAAGGGTCAGACGGGCGGGCAAGAGAACCTGGAGCAAGGAGGCGAAGGGCTAAGTCTAGTACCAGAACTGAAGGTACTGGGGGAGGAGGAGGAGGAGGAGGAGAGACCGAGGCCTGGTACTAGACCAGTACTAAGACCAAGGAGGCGAAGGACAGACTTTGGCTGCTCTTGCTGCTGCGGCTGCTGCTGCTACTGCTGCTGCGACTGCTGCTCCCTGTCCTCTCCAGGACCTCCGGCTGCACTTCGACTACTACCAGCACTCCCCAAAACAGCACCCCCAGGACTAGCACCCCTATAACCAGCACCCCCAGAGTCAGCACCCCCAAGACCAGCACTCCCAACACTAACTCCTCCAACACCAGCTCTCCTAACACCAACTCCTCCAACGCCAGCACCCCCAACACTGACACCTCCAATACCAGCACCCCCAGAACCAGCAGCCCTAGAGCCCACGGCTCCATGCTGCTGCTGCTGCGGCCGCTGAGTGTGCTGCTGCTGAGGTAAGAGGTGGGGCGGGTGAGGTGCCTGGGGTACCAAGGCTGGGGGGGTTGCCACAGGGACAGCAGGAGTGCCCCCAGGAGCAGGGCCCCCAAAGTCAGCCGACTCCCCACGGGCCCAACCGAGGGGAACTCAGTAGGGTGAGAGACACCAGACTGGGCCGGGCGGGGTGGGAGGGGTGCGGCAGGCAGGGCAGGGATGAGGAAGAGAGGAGGAGGAGACACAGGAGCGATGCGGTGCAGGATGTGCTGCTAGTAGGGGAGCGTCTTGTCGAAGGTTACGTCACGAGATTGGTAGAAGCGCTGGTGTGACGGGTGGTAGAACAACAAGTCAGAGGTGTTAAGCGAAAACCCCAGGAAGACACAAAGAAGGGTGCAGACCGAGAGTTTGTCCGCGAGAGTGTCGCGGACGTGAGCAAGGCTGCTCTAGACATGGAATGAAGACGCGTC